ATCGTTGGCATGGACAGCCTTTGGAAGACTCAGAGAGGTTTTTTGTTCAGGCCTCCCAAACACCCTCAAAGCGCAAATCTTCGATCAATATGTACTTCCAACACTAACATACGGTACAGAAACATGGGCAATTAATAAAGAAATCATTTGCAAGCTACAAACAACACAACGAGCTATGGAAAGGAGGATGATAGGTGTAACCCTCCGGGACCGAATAAACAATAATATAATCCGGGAAAGATCAAAAGTGACAGATGTCATAGAGAGATTATGTAGACTGCGATGGAGCTGGGCAGGACATATAGCCAGGAGCAAAGATGATCGTTGGACACGCAGAGTGATGGAGTGGAGACCATGGAGCAGTAAGAGGAGCAGAGGACGCCCCCAGACTAGGTGGACAGATGATATAAAGAGACTGGTGGGAGACAATTGGATGTGGCATGCGCAGGATAGAAAGGAGTGGCAATGCTTAGGGGAGGCGTACGTCCGACGATGGATGGATAGCTGAGGATGATGATGATATATATATATATATATATATATATATATATATATATATATATATATATATATATATATATATATATATATATATATATATGCCAATAAGTCCAAAACGAAAAGAAATATTTAATTTATGTAAAAAGTAGTCAAAGTGTGGGGTCAAGTAGATATTTCCTAAAGTTTAAAAAATTCGACGTCTGCAAAGAGGTGGGCGTCGCGACGCGTCGAAAAATTATTCGATTGGAAATACGCGCATACAAAAGTACATATTATTTAAAAACTTTTTTGTTATTTACTCAAACTTATTTACTTTACCCGTTTCTAAGTTATACCGATTTAAAGTAAACATTTCTTGATTAATAAAAAATGTGATTAACGCTTATTTTTACAAGTATGCCATGAATATTAGTTACTATGGCAACCATTGTTAACGCAGTTGTTTTAAGTGCAATTACAAACAATAGATTTCAACTATTTTAGTATGATTGTATTTATTATTTTTTATCGATTTAGTTCTGATAACATGATAAATAAATGAAAAAACAGTAAAATACCTACAAGTTAATAACCAAAATTATTATTGCAATTAACTACATAATAAGACATTTCAAAAATTTTGTTCAAAATTATGTCCATCTGCTAGAACACAACTATCAAAAACTTTTAACAGATGAGCTTGGGTCACTTGTAGGAGAGTCCTTCTTGTGATAGCGGCACACGCAGCACTAATTTTGTTAATGAGATCAGCCATATCTTCGATAGGTTCTTCATAGATAACGTTTTTTAGGTAGCCCCAAAGAAAATAAGAAAATAATCTGGTGGTGTAATGTCCGGGGACCTCGCCGGCCACCTTACCGGTCCATTAGTACCAAACCATCTATTGGGATATTCTCGGTTCAAATACCTCGTTACTATTTGGGCATTATGTGCAGGCGCTCCATCCTGCTGTAGCCACATATTCATTGTAGTGTCAAGAGGCACTTCTTCTAATAGTTCCGGAAGTGTAGTTTGAAGAAATCTTAAAAACGATCTGCATTTAAAGTTCCTTCGTAAAAGTAAGGTCCAATAAGGAATCCATTTAATATGCCGCACCAAACATTGATACTAAAAATTCGTTGGTTACCTCTTTCTGTAATCCAACGAGGATGGTTTTCGGACCAAAAACGACAGTTGTGTCTGTTAACGATTCCATTATTTTGAAATCGACTTTCGTCGCTCCATAAAATTTTCGAGAGAAAATTTGCATCTTGGCTATACAAATCGGACAATGTCGCTAAGAAATACATTCTTCAAGCATAATCGCCTGGTTCTAGTTTATGAACTAGTTTACTTTTGTACGGGTGAAAAGAGTTTCTGTGTAGAATTCTCCACGAAGAACTTATGGTAACACCGGTACCTTTTATCTCTTATAGGGATATCTTGGAGTTATTATCAACCTGCTGAATTACAGCAGCAGTATTTTCATCATTTGTAGCCGTCCTGTTCCTATCTCTATTAGGTTTCATGAAGCTGCCATATTCTCTTAAGTTTTTACATAAACTTGAAAAGGTTTTTGCATCGGGGACTCTTCTATGCGGATAACGCCGTGCGTAAACTCTTTTTGCTTCTCTACAATTGCATCTGCATTCTCCAAACACCAGTAACATGTCTACTTTTTCCTCATTGCTAAATTGCACCATTTTCACATAATAATTCTTAGTTTTTTTTTAACCGAACAAATTTGGATATCTCTTGTGACAAAATGTGACAATTTTTTGATACAGCAATAACAACTTACGTTTGTAATTGCACTTAAAACAACTGCGATAACAATGGTTGCCATAGTAACTAACATTCATGGCATACTTGTAAAAATAAGCGTTAATCACATTTTTTATTAATCAAGAAATGTTTACTTTAAATCGGTATAACTTAGAATCGGGTAAAGTAAATAAGTTTGAGTAAATAACAAAAAAGTTTTTAAATAATATGTACTTTTGTATGCGCGTATTTCCAAAGTCTCTGCAATCGAATAATTTTTCGACGCGTCGCGACGCCCAGCTCTTTGCAGGCGTCGAATGTTTTAAACTTTAGGAAATATCTACTTGACCCCCCACTTTGACTACTTTTTACATAAATTAAATATTTCTTTTCGTTTTGGACTTATTGGCGTGCGGAGTTTTAAGTGAAAAACCCTGTATATATATATATATATATATATATATATATATATATATATATATATATATATATATATATATATATATATATATATGACGCTTAGTATCATTCTTGTAAATTTAGTTGTCCAGTGAGAATGATTGCTCGAAAAAAATATTTTCTTTGCATACAGGGTGAGTATACCACATACAAAATAGCAGAAATTCTATCAATTGTTAAGGTCGTGGTTACATGTTTTAAATTATTAAATATATATATATATATATATATATATATATATATATATATATATATATATATATATATATATATATATATATATATATATATATATATATATATATATATATATATATATATATATATATATATATATATATATATATATATATATTTGATGACACTACATTCCGGGATATCATCTGTTCGCTTGTTGAACTCCGACTGGAACGAACACAGTGTTCGAAGTGTTTTCGGAGCGCGAGCATTGAAGATGCCAAGTGAGATTTTGGCGAAACGTCTGCAGGATTCCAGTCGAAGTTCAACGAGCGAACGGATGATATCCCGGTATCCCGGAATGTAGTGTCATCACATTTTTCCACCCGTGAATCAATACGTGAGAATATATATATATATATATATATATATATATATATATATATATATATATATATATATATATATATATATATATATATACATATTTTCACGTATTGATTCACCTATGGAAAAATGTGATGACACTATATTCCGGGATATCATCCGTTCGCTTGTTGAACTCCGACTGGAATCCTGCAGACGTTTCGCCAAAATCTCACTTGGCATCTTCAATGCTCGCGCTCCGTGTTCGAAGCGTTTTCGTTATTTCGTTATAGTTCTGTTAGCGACATTGATGTACATAAAAATTAGGTAACGTAATTAAGATTTGAACCCGAGTGTGACTTGGACTATAAATATCTGGACCGAGGATTTCATTATCTAATATAAATAAATGGGTTGGTTCATGTGCAGCTGAATTTGTTTAGTTCATGTACATTTCTGCTAAAAGCTTCCTTCCGTATTTTAAAATTTCTAAATTCATCATGATAGTAATCCGAATTTAAAAAATAAGAATAACATTTATTGCAAAGTAGACTAGATTAATTTCCAATATGTTTTTGAATTAATAATGTGTTCTTTTGCTATTAAAATTTAAACTGTATATTAGAATCCAATCCAATTTAATTATACATGACTATGATTACATAGATTTTCAGTTAAATGCGATATAAATTATTATAATATCAAGTAAGAAAAACTTATATAGAACTAGGAATAATACAAAAAAGATAAATTGTAATAAATATTATAATTAAAAAAAAAATCTACTATTTACAATACAACTTCATTTGTTGTTGGTTATGATGTTCATGTACTCCTCGATTTCCACTTCAAAAGACTGTGTCAATTATTCATGACTTTAGTCGAAGCAATATCCAAAAAACTGTTTCATTTCTCTTTAGTAAGATATATCCAGTAAAAAAGAATTATCAAAATTGAGTTATAAACAAACATTCTACCGGAGTAATGCTTAAGCGAGGCGCTCGCGATATTTCGAGTACCCTGTATTCGAACTTCATGGAAATAGTATAGTTAGATTTCGTTGACACTTGACACTTGAGTCTTATAGAAACCCCTAATAGCCCTTCTTGATATTTGACCTCAAAAATCAGTCCAAGTTAGCCATGACTTCAGGTCCATGTACTAAGGAACATAATGTTTTAATGGGTTTTTGAGATCTATCCAACAAAAGAAAATTATCAAAATCGAAAATTAACCAAAGATTTTGCAAAGATGTAAAGCCTTAAGCCCTGTATTGAAACATTATAATAATAAATAAAAAATGAATAAAAATTCGTTGCCAATTTATTTTTAGAAAAATCCCTAATGGCGCTTCTCTCTATTAAGTTGTTAAGTTGATGTGATACCACCACACCATGACAACATTTTTTTCGATATCTAGATAGGGAAAACAATCTCACCATTTACAATCCCGTGATGTGATATCACTTAGAATAATCCTACCGGTAATTAAGTGCCAATAATTCAAAAAGGCAATTAAGTATCTTGTAACATGGCAACTGCCATCTAGTAACTGATATGTGCGTCATCAATGGTCATGCAATAGGCTGCTAGATTTAGTATAGCGTCGCGGCATCTTTACGCAGAACTTCGAAGCTTGTGCAAGTGACATCTAACCGTGGTGTTGCAGACGAAAGCTTGCCAAAGTTACTAACGGAAGTGTTTCCTACCTCATGCAAGTGTCACTTTTCAATGGCCTCGTGAAAATTTCAACGAAACGAACAGAGCAGTTGAGCGCAGTTAAGTGACAGTAAAGTTTCGTACGCGCTGTGTTCGTTAAAGTGCCTTTTGCAATACACAAGTACCGCAAGTGTTTTTGACCGATTTTTTTACCATGTCGGACGAAATTGCAGAAAACGGACATCTCGAAGACGATGTGCCGGAAATTGAACTCATCATCAGGGTAAGTTCATACAGATTATGCTTTTGAAATAGCCAACATTTCATTGGGCGTGACTATAAGTTCAACATTTGATTATTTTTTCGATTTTTGGCGGAAAGTTGACGCGCGGGTTTAGAAAATGGCGTGCTTTTGTTTAGACGGTTGTCGTGCTTGAACGTATGCTCATCTGGCGACTCTGATCTAATATTTAAAATACCCGCTGACGTCTTTAATTTGTACAACTACTAATACCTCATGTTAGGTATATGACCTTGGAAAAATCCAAGGATACGTACATTTAAAATGCTCCTATTTTTACACAATTTTTGCCATTTGCCAACGTAGTCTCATCCGTGTCACCTTTACGTGTTTTGTAATCGAATTTACATGATAAAGGGCCCTCGGAGAGTGCAATGTTCTCTTTCTCTAGTTCGAAAAAAATTATTTTAGTTGGGTGTTTGTTGTGCTAGCTACGTCAATGGCGGAGATAAAAATAGAAATTACTAAACCCTCATCTCTTCCATCGTGGCATGGTTTTTACTCACCCTCGTTAGCAAGTTACCCTGCCGTTATAGTGGTCTCTACGCGAATGACTGGGTAATGGATATCTATTGGGAATGTGATTTGATAATCTATAATCCTACATCGAAGCTCGGGCTTCGACCCTACTTTTACTCAAGCCTCATTTTTTTGGTTCTGTGAATAATTTTTATCAGTCACCACAACCACTAGAATCTGAATAAATACTTGATTAAAACTATTTACTTAAAAAAATATATTAAAACAGTTTCCAACAAAACAAGTGTTAAATGGTGTCCAAAATCCAAAATTGGTACACCACATTTCACAGCTTTCACGGATTTTACAGTGATTAATTTTTAGGTTATGTGGAAACATTTTGTAGTCAGTCCTAAGTGAAAAAAAAAGTTAAAAACGTACACTTAAAGCGCCTTTTCAAAAAAATTGAAACAGGTACTGTCAGTATTATTTTATAAATTCCATACATTTTCAAAGCTTGAAAATTAATATTTCATTTTTTGTTCCTAAATATTTAACTTTTAAATTTTAATTTAGTAATTTTCTTCGTTGAAAAAGCATTTAGTTAAGAATTCCGCTAATTATTAGAAACAGCAGCGGATGTTTTTGCAAAATGAAAGCTATTTATGACCTGTTCTTATGCCTTAAAAATATATTAAAGATGATTTACTCATGAGAAACTGTTCAAAACTATAAAAGTAAATTTTGGAATACTATATAATATATATATAATAAATTTCACAGATAACAAAGGTTTGACAGATTTTTTATCAATGAGTTTTGAGCGACTTGCATTTAAATAAATGAAATAAACAAATTAAAATGTTTAAAAAATGGCCCTACGTAATTTTTAATTAAACATTTTTAAGTTATTTGTAGATTGGCGTCTAAAAATAGGTGTAACATTTGTTGATAAATAATTTCGATTTTTTGGAATATTCACTCAACCCATTGATTCAAAAGTATTTCCGGCATTTTTTCATCAACATATAGTAATAATTATCAAAATTCAATAAATGTCATAAACATGCTCTTTTCTATTAAAAAAAATATGAAATTAGAGTTATAAAGATAAATAATTTCACATAGCAGGCACTTACTTCTGATATAACTGCAAGTTATCCTAAAAATGTCATAACGATGCCGATTACAGTATAACAATTCACGTTAGGTGTAGTTGCTATGTCAATTTGACATTTCCTGTAAGTAACTCGATAAAGAAAAAATACGAGAAAGAATAAGAGACAGAATTTTGAAAAAAAATTATAACCATTTTGAACATTTATTTATTTATTTATTTATTTACCAAGTTCATGACTAATTCCATCCTTTTTTTATTTTCGTACTAAACACTGAAACAACATTTTTTGAAAAAAGGTTTTAAAATAACGTATTTCTTGAATATATTTTCTTTTCAATAATTTTTAATGTATCACTTATTTATTACAATCAGTCAAATTTCGTAAAATTATTTGACAATTCATAAAGTATCTGTAAAATCCGTTAAATCTTACTTTATATAACTATTATATACAACTTGTATCACTGCAGATAAGGGTCATGTGGAAGACTTACTTCAAGTTTTCCATTTATATTTATTTATTTTTAAATTCGTCCTAACACATGTTATAAAGTCATTTCTAAAACCGCTTGCATCAGAGGATCTTTCAAATCTTATCCCTCCCTCTTCTTGTGCATTAAAACACTATAATCTTTCAAATGACTTTCAGTTATTAAAAAAATATATTTTATCGGGAATTCTTTATGCAACAATTCTATTCATCTCATTTCTCATTATATGAATACATTTTGAGTTATAATAGAAAAAATCAGATTAATTAATGAATCAACTAATAAATCAACGAGACCCAGACTCGTAACTGCAATGCAATAATATACAGGGCGTTTAAAATCTGAATGAAACTATGCAACTTTTCTGTTGACCTTCTTTTTCTAGGGGATATGAAATATATATAAAATATGACGCCGAACGAATTTTTACAAAAGCAAAAAATAAAAATATATAGAGTAGGATGCCTTTTAATAAAAAAAGTAAGCAGTTTGTTCATAGGTCCGATTGGAGACTTTTGTGGCTTTAAACATAGCTCGTGACTTAATAAAAAAACGCACGAACGCTAGATGATTTGTAAAAAACTACTATTTTAATATCTTTAATAACATTTTGCCAATGCTAACGTTTGGAATTTTTCTGTGGAATATTTGCTTTTCTTATTTAAATTGACTGCATACAATTATTAGAGTTTTTGACTAAATAAAAAGAACATCTCCACTGGGATTTAAATCACTCGTAATAGAAAAATATACAGTGTGTTTCATTGAAAATAAGAAAGTTCATCGCACTTGCTATTTTTTTATTTATAATTTCCCGTTTTATATATCAAAATGTACTATGACATCTCTGCATTTCAGATTTATTCAATTTTTTTCACGCTTGGCTAGTAATTTCATTAACATCCGATATAGTATAGTATATTTGTTGAACTTTGACGGCATAACTTTTTTTAATATAACCAGAAACGTATAATGTTATAGTGAATGGTAGAAATGGTTAATTTTTGATTGTCGTGGTAATCGTAGAGTAAAATATTTTTGAAGTTATTTTAAACAGCACCTTGCAACAGAATTCGTCAGAGAGAAAACAGTGGGTGCGACTGATTCCGCCCACAAAATTATTGAATAGATTGCGTACGATGATCTAAGGCTTTTGTTTGACTACGTACACCGTGAACTTAAATAACAATTCATTTTAACATCCTTTTAATTTTTCTGAAATCGACAAAGATTAATACATTATTCCCCAGTTTTTGTAAATTTGTATTTTTAACGAACCCGGGGGAATGGGAATGGGAACTAAAGTACCTTTGAATTCCTAAGCTCTTTGCTATTTTTAAATTTGAAACAGTATACAGGGTCTCCCACACTCTATAGCCTATTAGAAGTATGAGGAGAATGACAAATGAAATTATTAAATTTTTAAACTATTTGAAACATGCAACTTTGCCCCATCTTATCGAACCATATGCCAATTATTTGTTTGAAATGGAACACCCTCTATATCATTACATTTTTAGATTCTGTGAAAAATTATAAAACTTTCTCTTAATTAATAGGCAGCTGTATCATATTATGACGTGAGATTTACGCTATCGCCTACGGGATGTTTGCACAAATTTTTGCACATGTTGCAATACACTTGCACATTTTTTGCTTTAAACAGAAAATATACAGGGTGGTTCAATCAATACATGATTTTCAAAAGAATTTGTTCCCTATTTTAGCCGTTATAGATACGTAAATGCCAATTTTAAATGAAAGACCTATTGAAGGATTATAACATAGCACGCCTATTTAGAATAACCTTAAAGTTAATAACAAAAAACTACAATAATGCAATAATGTATTAAACGATTTATTAATATAAAAACACCCAATAGTGAGTTTGTTTTGTTGAACGTGTATTTTTTTGAAAAGTTACAATTTTCGGTATAAAAATAATCTTTTTTAAACAGCTGAGGGAGGTAGTTGTATTGAAGAAATTGTAGTTTATTTCAAAATACAATTCATAAACATCTGGCGAGCATACAAATCAACCAAAAGGTTGTGTGCTTATGACCCAAAAAGAAAATATAATTATAATGTATTGGCGTAAGTCCGTACCAAAAAAAAAAAAACAAAACAAAACTGAATAGTTCAAAGTAAAAAAATAAATAAATAGTTTTTGTTTTAAATCCCCAATAGAGTGAACATTAAACACTACTCCTTGTCCAGTGATTTATTTTCTTGTTGGATTTACACCAACTTTGAATTTTACATTCATTGGAAAGGTCTTGTATGTAATGTATATTTTGAAGGTTTCATATTTCATCATATTTCTAGTTCGAAATAGAGGAGTCCAGCTTCAATAATGCGCTCTCTAGAGGAATAGAGTCTATGTTTAAACAGTAGAATTTTAATTATAGTTTCTGGCATTACATTTTCTGGTTTGGGCGATTTTGTAGATGCTAGTAATAATAAATATGCATTTTGTTTATCTTTAAAATTCTCTGTATTGATGTGTATTTAAGGACAATATTGTTTATAGCGCTCTTTATTGACGCACGAGGATGCATAACATTTATAATCGCATTTATAGTAGATAACCGTTTATAATAGCTATTATTCTGAACTTCTTGAATTTCTTGCTGTAACCGAATTTGACTGATTTTGAAATATATTTTACTTTACTTTAAAACCTCTTTTAAAAAAAAAGCATGATTTGTTTCAGTGTTAGTGTCAAAATGAAATTAATTAAATTAAATTAAAAATTAATAAGTTTTCAAAATTGACATAAAAGTTTTATTTATACATTAAAAAAATCTGTTTCCTATTTTTTTTTTTCTAATTAGATTTAGAAATCTTAGTATTCTTCTCTCTCACTTCTCATTAGTTAACAAACTAATCTAGGAATATTACGTTTACGTCCG